GTTCTTCTTTCTTTCTTTTTTTTTTAAAGAGAGCGACGAGCGCCGGCCATGACAGAGCGAGGTCTAAAAGTACAAATCTATGGAATGTTATCACAACATTTTCAAAAGAAGTACGTGCACTTCTCTGCGTGCTCACGTCGTCTTTTGTTTGTGATGGTTCTCACCCTACACGCAAATAACGTAGATTTGATTTCCTGGTGGGAAATATTCATGAAGGATCTCCATCCTCTTATTACGAGGACGTGTGTTCTTGCATTACGCATAAAAGATGGAGGGGGGGGGGTGTCAGTAAAGGTAATAATAGTCATTTAGGGAAGGGATAAGCAACAAGAAGAAAAAAACAAAAACAGACTGAAACAATAACTTTAAAAAAAGAAAACAAGTAGGACCTACCTGTGACAGCCTCCAACCACCCACAAATAAAGGAGGGGATAGACGAGAGCCATTGCCATTGAGAAAAGGTTTAACGCCATTTCCAACACTGTAGATTCGTTTAAGAATATGACCTACGAATTCAACGTCCATCCGAGATAGGACCTAGCCTCCTCAAAACAATGCAGATTCAGAACACCCCGTTGGGGATTCGAACCTAAGCCACCCACCCCGTAGTCCAATATGATACGAAAGAAGCAATGGTACGCTCGAGGGAGGAGAGTGAGAAAGAATCCAAAAGTTTAAAAATAAGACTCACCGCTTCCTGCTCCAGGGCGAACACATAGTGGTTGAAGAAGCGATGGAGTTTCTCGTTGGTAAAGTTGATACATAGCTGCTCGAAACTGTTCGTCTGGAGAAGGGGAACAAAAGAAAACATTTTAATTTTTTTTTTACACACATACAAGTAATAATAGATAGTTCTATGATAAATTTTATTGCTGGCCTCATATCAAACAGCAACAAAGGTGATATATAGCTACTCGAAGCTGTCTGGGGAAAACGTGAGGGGGGGGGGACGAAATGTCTATAATTGAGCATACATACTTTGTTTTATTATATGTTCTATTGCTGACCTCATATTAAGCTAGCATTGTCTATCAAAAACGAATGGAACAACAAC